CCCGTCCCGTCCCCTCCCGGCGGCGGGGCCCCGCGGCACCCACCGTGTCCGAGTCGGTGCTGAGGTGCTGGAAGGCGAGGGCGCCGAAGACGAAGCCCGAGAGCAGAGCAGACGTGCTCTCGCCCTCCATGCCCTCGACAATGGCGGGCCGCGCCGCGGCGGCGGGAGCCCCCAGCGGCCGCCGGCGGCAGGGCAGGGCAGGGCCCGGTCGGGCACATGGCCTTCCCGTGAGGAAGCAGCGGGGGAGAGAGGAGGCGGCGTCTGGGGCCCGGGCAGCGGCCTGTCCCGTCTCTTCAGCCGCCCGTCCTCTTCGCTCTGCGTCAGCCCTCGCCCCCTCCGCGCCCGCTTCAATCCTCCCTCGCTCTCCGGGCCTCTTCCCGCCTCCTGCCCGGCGGGGCTCAGGCCAAACCCAGCCCTTTCGGTTTGCCTTAAATGGTGTAATTCTTAAGTCTAAATCCCTGTTTTGTTTTTGGCTTTAAGGTGAAACAATGCTCCGATTTAGGAAGGCTGTCCGGGTCCCCCGCATTTCATGGGTGGCTTCTGGAGCAAAGGACTGCAGGCGCCACAGCAAGGGCCTGTTCCCGAGGGCAAGGCAAGATGTCCTGGCCTCAGTGATGCCTGCCTGCGCGCTTTGGGACCTGACATAGCTCCAGGCCAAAAGTCAGGATTTGTGCTTATAGAAGCACCTCATTGATCGTACTAAGAGCTTTAGTAAAGCATCAAAAAAACCCAGCATTTGAACCGAGCTGGCTGGCCCACATCATCCAGCTAGCAGTGTGGGTGGAGCAAGCTGCATTCGTGTCTTCGCAGTGGCAGGGTTGTGTCATGCCCGCCTGCAATGTGAAAAGGCGGAGGGCGCTGGCTGCGCTCCTATATATAACAAGGTTGTACCTTTTGAAACAGGACGTGCGGCTGTGAGTATGTCTGGACCTGCACTGTCCTGTTTAGGATCGTGGTGAGAATCTTCTGAGTTAATAACGTATAAACTGTCATAAGGAAGTAATAAAATGATAATGCTAAACAGTGATCTGACAGCAGTAAGTTTTACCACGTCTTCCTAAGGTACAGGCTGAGTTTGCGGAATGTATGTTTTGTCTTTTTCAGTAGTCACATATTACTTCTTTTAAATATTTGTAGTAACATATTTTTTCACATTCTAACAGTGTTCCTCACCACATCAGCCAGAAGAAAGCTCTAGAAAAAAATTTCAGGAAGGGAGAGTTAAAAGTGACAGCATTCTTTGAAATGTGGTCAGTGATCCGGTCTAAAGGCCACAGGAGTTTTTCCCCTTCACTTCAGGAGAGCAAATGTTTGATTTCATCCCTCACCAGCACTATAGGTAAGTGTACTTTTAGCCTTAGACATTCATTTCCTGATTCTTGAAATAGGATGTATGCTCCTGTGGTCTTTCAAGAGGTGTTTCCATGATTTTGGGATCTCACACATATATTTTTAGGTTGCATATAAAATTAATGTTTTTAGTGCAATTTCTTTTTCCTTAAAACTTGTTGGCAAGATTTAGAAGGAGAATAGTTAGTTCTGACATATTTGCATTTAAATAAAATTCCTTATGGATTATTTAAAATATGTGAATGGTGCCAATATTTAGAAGAGGAAGATTGTTGTGATTCTTACCTGTTGTCACAGTGGAGAGAAGGAGCAGCTAAGACTTTTATTTCTCAACACACTCATAAATAATCTAGATCTCTCAATAAGGGGGTGACAAGTCTCCAGATGATACAGAATGTTTGACAAGATTAATGGGAAAGAGCTAGTATGCATTTCTTGCAATGCAGGCCACATGGTACTAAACGCATGAGTAGTAAGTAGGACACAACTGAAGTGATACATTGCAACAAATTACTCCATTATGGACCAGGTTGGTCCACGGCTGGAAGCAACAAGAACAAATGGATATGACCAGCTTCCATAGTTGTTTGTGGAGAAAATTATGAAAGCAGACATGAATACTGACATCTTTCAGAAATTGCCCCATAGGACCCAGTGCTGTGATTGCAGTCACTCCTAAGCCAGAACTGAGAGAAAATTTTATGTATTTAATCAATGCAATAAATGTCGGGCATTGACAAATTATTCTATTGCATTCATCATTGATGACATGCTAACCATATACAAGATTTATATTGACAATATATGAGATAAGTATTGACAGTCATGTAATGCCTACACATCTGATGGGCATCTATACATTGCTGAGGCAAACAAATGTAGTCAGAACATATAGTGGACTTCCCGCTTTTGTGATACAAAGACACAAGCCTGTTGTAAGCTACAGGATATGATAAATAAGGTTCTGTAATTGTTGTATTTATCTTGTGTGGAAACAAGAGTGCTTGTGTGGTCAGAGCTAAATGTGTTACAGTTATCCTAATGAGGGATACAATACTTAAACGTGCTTCTGCAATGTTTTCATAATTCAACTGTTGATGGCCAAAGATAAACTCTAAATAGGACAATATTACTGTGGTCAGATATAAACACAGATCTGTTTAGTCAAGTAGATGGAATCTGTCCAGACCTAAAGAGCAGCAGACATACATCAGTTAGCATATAAATGCAGAGGAGTGGATATTTGCACTTTAGTGCATAAATACAGTGTGGTTCCCATAAATAAATATTGCACCTGACATTGCTTACCATGCAATAGGTGATCTTTAAGGTTATTCTGGCCTTTGGATGATTTTTCACAAATGAAGTGTGAACCTTGGTCTTGATCAAAATTGAAACAAAACTACCAGAGATTATTTCATCCTTGAGTAGCAATCAGGTGAGGAGTTTGCTGAATGTGAGGTTGAGAATTGAGAAGATATAAACAAAAACCAAAAGGGCGCTTTTTTGGTTATAGCTGGCAAAAGTTTAATTGAAAAAGAGGTATTCTTAATAGTTTTCATGTGTGAGTGCACACATCAGAATTACTGGAGTGCAGAATGCTCTGGTCAGTCCTGTTTGAAAGACTTTTTATCCTGCAAAACATAATCCCGGTACCCCTAGATATTAAGAGATGCTGGGAAATCAGCCGAGGTTTGCTCTCTTGATTTCGTGTCATTGACTTTTCTAAGTACAACAGTCTGTTTTGCTGTCTTTGTAGCATGGCAAAACTTGCATAGAAATAGCAGGGAGCCCTACAACTGGAGTCAGAGGAACAATTCTAGCAATAGTAACACCTTCATGTGCCTAATGACAATGCTAGGGTATACTTCTAGATGTAAGCAGCTTTTGATCATGTTGCAGCTCAAAACAGGTAAACAATGTACCCTGTATATTTATTGTAAAAAAGAAGATCAACTGATAGAGGATTGACCATGATTGATAGTCATGGAGCCTCCTGTCATTTGCCTCAGGTAGAAATAACTCTTTGTTAACTTGGAGGGAATGTATTCAACATCTGAAGCACCACCAGGCTGAAGTTGATGTGTCAGTGCTCTTTTGGAACAGTATCTGCTAGGGACATATGATGTTCTGGTAGTCTGATAAGAAAGATGTTACAAGAAAGGCAGGCCGGTATTGGCTACAAACTCTCCTCTATGACATCCCTCTATGTATCTTTTGGAGTCACTGGAATAGTTAATATTGGACAGGAAGGAGACTGTCCTGGTTTCAGCTGGGATAGAGTTAACTGTCTTCCTAGCAGCTGGTACAGTGCTATGTTTTGAGTTCAGTATGTGAAGAATGTTGATAACACTGATGTTTTCAGTTGTTGCTAAGTAGTGTTTAGACTAAAGTCAAGGATTTTTCAGCTTCTCATGCCCAGCCAGCGAGAAAGCTGGAGGGGCACAAGAAGTTGGCACAGGACACAGCCAGGGCACCTGACCCAAACTGGCCAACAAGGTATTCCATACCATGTGACGTTCCATCTAGTTTAGGAACTGGGGAGTGGGGGTGGGGAATCGCTGCTCGGGGACTAGCTGGGTGTTGGTCGGCGGGTGGTGAACAATTGCACGGTGCATCATTTGTACGTTCCAATCCTTTTATTATTGCTGTTGTCATTTTATTAGTGTTATCATTATTAGTTTCTTCTTTTCTGTTCTATTAAACCATTCTTATCTCAACCCACGGGTTTTGCTTCTTTTCCCGATTTTCTCCCCCATCCCACTGGGTGGGGGGGTAGTGAGTGAGCGGCTGCGTGGTGCATAGTTGCTGGCTGGGGGTAAACCACAACAGAGGCATACCTGGAAAGAGTGGTTCCCAAAATTTCTGCATGATTCCTTCTCTTTAGAGGCCATACAAATTGTTCTTTCTAGTCTATGTCCATGGTAGGTAATATATCAAAGGGAGGGCAAAAACACAGTGGTGGTCTTTGAAAGCTGTTATGTCCTATTGCAGTTTTTATCTGTTCACAGTGTATATGCACCTGCTTGAAAGATGACTGCTGTATAGCCACTCCTGTGCAGGAAAAGGCTGTTTATACCTGATTTAATCCTTCCATATGAGGTGCTACAGGTAGGCAGAAGTCAGTGCTCTGCTTGCTTCTCCTTGCAGTGAAAAAACAAATAGGTCATAATCCCAGTTCCCTCAGGCAATTGCAAAACATTACCTAATAATAAGAAATTAGTAGAATGACCTTAAGGATCGAGAGCCAAGAGTAGGCAGCTGACAGCCACTCCATGTCCTTCTCATTTCCCTAGGAGACCAGGAATATCTTCATTGTTTCAAGTGAATTTCTTATGCTTGCAGGTGTCAATTTGAGATTTGTTACATTAAAGAGAGCTTAGCCTTTGAATTCCTTGTGTGTCACCAGCATGCCTTTCTTCTAAGTTGGATTTCATTCTTCTAAATGAAGAGAGAGTTTTGCACATTAAGTGTCTTGCAACTTTTCCTGACATGTAGGGCACTTCATCATTTGGGTGTTTTGGTGTTTGGTTTGTGGTTTGTTTTTTTTACCTTTCAACCATGTGATGTTAAAGGTTTGCAGTGGAATGGTAAGAACACTGAAATGTTTTGCATCATTTCAGGAGGTACAAAGCGGATAAAGCAAAGAATAAAGATAAGAAGAGACCTGGCCATATGTATCTTGTAGTGCCTTTAGGCTAGATAGTTTGACCACCTCAATAGGGGGCTACTAGCAACTCTTCCTCTTCTTTCACTTTGTGTGGGAGTGCCATCCCTATGGCCTCCCC